TCTGATTTTATTTGAGCCTTGTCTCTTTCTTTCTCGGTGAGCCTAGCTAAAGGTTTGTCAATTTTGTTTATCTTTTCAAAGAACCTGTTCTTAGTTATATTAATATTTTCTATTGTCTTTTTAGTCTCCATTTCATTTATTTCCACGCTGATTTTTAATATTTTCCTCCTTCTACTGATTTTGGGCTGTTTCTTCTTCTTTTTCTAGTTCCTTTAGATGTACTGTTAGCTTCTTTATTTGAGATTTTTCTTGTTTTTTGAGGTAGGCTTTTATTTCTATAAATTTCCGTCTTAGTACCACTTTAGCTGCATCCCATAAGAGTTGGTATGTTGTGTTGTCATTTTCATTTGTCTCTAGGTGTTTTTGGTTTCTCCTTTGATTTCTTCATTGACCCAATAATTCTTCAGTAGCATTTTGTTTAATCTCCACATATTTGTGACTTTTCCACTTTTCTTCTTGTAGTTGATTTCCAGTTTCATACCATTGTGGTCAGAAAAGATGCTTGGTATTATTTCAATCTTCTTAAATTTATTGGGACTTGTTGTGTGGCTTAATATGTGATCTATCCTGGAGAATGTTCTATGTGCATTTGAAAAGAATGTGTATTCTATGATTTTTGGATGAAATGTTCTGTATATATCTACTAAGTGCATATGGTCTAATGTGTCATTTAAGGCCAATATGTTCTTTTTGATCTTATGTCTGGATGATCCATCCATTGATGAAATTTTTTTCTTTTTTCTGGTCAGCTTGAGTGATTTCCTCTACTTCTTCACCCAGATCACTAATTCATTCTTCTGTGTCATCTACTCTGCTGTTGATTACCTCTAGTGAATTTTTCATTTCCATTACTGTTTTCTTCAGTTCTGATTGGTTCTTTTTTATATTTTCCAATTCTTTTTTGAAATTCCTACTGTGTTCATCTATTCTTCTCCCAAGATCAGTAGCATCCTTATGACTATTAGTTTGTACTCTTTATCTGGTAGATTGTTTATCTCTGTTTCATTTAGTTTTTTTCTGTGGATTTGTCCTTTTCCTTTATTTGGAACATATCCCTTTGTGTCCTCATTTTACCTACTTCTCTGTGTTTATTTCTACATATTAGGTAGATTGGTTATGTCTCCAAACTTGGAAATGAGGCCTTACGTAAGATATTGCTTATGGGGCCCAGCAGCTTGCTCCTCTCTCATCATCCATGCCAAATGCTTCATGGGTGTCCCCTGTTGAGCTGCATGCGCCCTTCTGTTGTGGCAGGGTTGCTATTGCTGCAGGCACATGGGTAAGCTAGGCTGGCCCTCAGGCTGGCTGGTTGTGAGGCCAAATTCCAAGCCCAATAGTGCATATTGGCATCAATCTGGATCACATAGAATTGACTCCCAGTATTTTCTCACGTTTATTCCAGGACCCCAAGAGTCTCTTCCATTTTTTGCTGTGCTTATTCTTATCCTCCACCAACCTAGGGATGGTCACTGGATTTTTTTAAGGCAAATCAAGGGCAGTTACCTCTGAAGACACCACTCTTAGCTCTCTCAGAAGTCAGCTGGGCACTTTGTTAAAGGCCCCAGGCGCAGCAGCACACAACTGTTTCAGACATTGGAAAGCAGGGCAGATCCCCTGTGTGTGTTACAATGGCTGGCAGCACAAGTCTGCTGCAGGCCCACACAGCCACTGCAGGCTTGCTGGTGGGCAATGCTGGTCCCTGGGGTAGGCTACCTGCTGCCTGGCTGCACTCAATTGCCTCAAGTGCTCTAGCATATGGGACAGACCCCTACACTATCAGGCTAGAGGGAGGATTCCAATGGTGCCTGCCAGCCTCTGTGTCAGCACGACTGAACTAGGACACAATAATGGCTTCCTCCACTGTCTCAGTCCCTGAGGGGTGGGACCAGCTGACTCCTGCTTCTCCAGGATGCCTTCCAAGCTTAGTAAGTGAGTCTCCTTTACCAATGGACTATGTACTTTTCTCTCTTGTGTTTTTATGCTGATTTCTGGGTTACTTGATACTGTAGATAGGCGCCTTAAGAGCAGGTTTTTCTTTCTCTGAAGATCTATAGTTTTCCTGGGCATATTCTCTGGTGGTTTTCAAAGCCAGCAAAGCCAGGTATTATGGAATCTCATCTTTCTCGTGCTGATCTAAAGGCTGGGATGCCTAATGTGGGGCTCAAAACCCCTTTCCTTCAGGAAAAGCTCCATACCTTTGAGATCACTCCCAGCCATGAAGCACTGGCTAGGGTGTGGTTTTTTTTTCCTTAGCGGAGCTGTTTCTCTGTCTTTTTATCCAATTTCCAGATCTCTCTCAGAGGAAATTGTTCCACAGATAGCTGTAGTTTTGTTGTGTCCCTGGGAAGAGGTGAGTTCAGGATCCTCCTACACTGCCACCTTCCAAACTCCTCCACAATGACAGCTTTTAAAAAATTGTTCCTACTTCAATGCCTTTATCAATAGATACATGCACACACTATGAATTTGTTCACATTCATTTTACAATATGGTCTTTTATTAACTCAACAATTAGCATGCCCAGATGAACACACACACGTGCCTGGAATCATTTGAGGTCCTGGGCTTTTTAATTGAAAAAACAGATCTCTATTCAACTTCATGCCATTTACAGTCTAAAGGTGCTTATTTACCCAAGTCAAAATATACTTCTTAGTAACAAATCTTCCTTGCAAGCTATCAGAATTTTTAAGGCATTTGTCCACTTAATAAAGTCACTTTCTCATTATTTCTGGATAATTTATCTCTTCCCCTCTGCTTTTTGCTATTCCCCTGCCTTTATTCATTTTTGTTCATCATAGAAGCATAAAGTCAGTGAAAATTAAATATTTTCAATTTATATTAGTTGGAGTTTAGGATAAAAGTTGGAACTACCTAAAATCTAATTTGAATATAAATACAGTTTCAATATTATCGACTAATTTTTTCCATTATATCTTTGAATCGTTTTTGCTAATCATAAAAATTGTCTGTCTAAGGACAAATGAAAATAGAACACATTTCATCCAGAACGTTTGTTAGAATGAAATATAAATGGTGACATGATACCAAAGACTCACACTTAGATATTACGTACATATGTAGAACATGTGCCTCACAGAGCAGGAGCTTCAACACATCATCTGTTTCGTTTTCTCTCCCCAAAGAAATCAGGCAGTTCAGAATCTGTGGCAAGGGCTAGAATATTACAAAGCAATGATAACTCTGATCATCTGTCAGAGTAAACTGGAGCCAGAGGAGTGGAAAGTGTATGGGCAAGGCAATGCCGATGGGGTGTCAGGCAGCACAATGATGGTGCAGAGCAATCTCTCAGAGAACAGTTCTTACACTCTCGATGCCAGGAATCTTAGAAAGGAAGGAACACAGAGGCAACCAAGAAATCAGAGGAGTCTTTGTGACACTCTTTTCTACATCTTGCAGTATTAACTGAGCCCTATTTTGTGCCCACCATCAGCGAAAACTAACCAAGGAGTCCATGGCAAGGGGGAAAATGTCAGACAGGGGAGAGGCCCATTGGGGATGCTGGAGGTGGAGGTGACGGGACAGAACAAGAAAAGGGTGCAATCCCACCAGGAATAAGATATTTGGAGACTTTGTCTCCAAATCCAGCAGACCTCTGGGCACGATTCCAGACCTAAATTAGGATTTAGTAGCAATTTTTAAGATAAAGTGATTTTCCTAAATATCACTAGGTTTTGCTTTAGTCACTTACATCTAGATCATATTAAAGTCCCCAGCCTTTCTGCCTGTTTTGTCTTCTAAATGCAAATGAGAAACTGGAAAGGGTCAATGCTTACACCAACTAAGCGCTTAAACTAAGGAATTTGAACACAAAACAACAAGGACCAGAGACTATAGGACATTAGCCTATGAAACTATGCTACAAGCTGGGGGCATCAGAACTGATATCTTCTAGACAATGCAATTGCTATCTCTACCACTTAGCATCATAGAGCTTGAAGGGACATCAGAGAACATCTCATCTCAGCTAAAGCCCTTCTCAAAGACCACAGGAAGAATTCAGTCCAACTGTGGCCAAGCCCAACTCTCAGGCTCTCCGATTTCCAATGCTGCTGTTTCTACTGATAATAGCAGCTCCAATATTCATAGTACCTATTGTGTGCCAGGTACTATTCTAAGCACCTTACAGGTGTTACCCTACTGAATCCTACAACCACTCCCATGATGTAGGTACATGTTACTGTATGTACCTTCTTCAAGTGAGGAATCTTCTTCGGGTGAAGAATCTGAGGCCCAGAGTGGATAAGTTGCATGCTCGGTCGCAAAACTGATGAAAGGGCTGAGCTTCCTACCCTGAACCCACACACTCTCCTGCCCCAAAGGAGTGTACTTATTTCCCCTACCCCCCACCTTCCGCGTCCTCTACCCCATAGAAACGTCTGCAGAGAAGACCGAGTCCTTGGTGCTTCCCTTAGCCCTACCTCAACGTGCAGTAAATTACTAAATTCTGCTTAGCGTCCATGTTGCTCCTAGCAAGTATCATCAGAAGGTCTTGAATTTAGTAACGCTGGGTTGTCTCTATAATCGGGAGAAAAAAATAACAGCCTGTTTGTCCTCATTCTTTCCAGGATCCCTAACTGTTCCTTGAAATGGTTTAAAAGCAGTTTGATGCCTAAGAGAAACTTCACTATCTCGTTTCAACTCCTTTAATTCTATGTGAAAAATAAAAAATTTATCATCATGAAATAACAAGAGGGATGAGAAAGCTGATATAATTGTAAGCTGAATTTTTACTGGCTCTGTAAATTAATTATCTAATTGGCAATTGAGCCCCTTGCCAGAAGCAGAAACATGTGCAGGGCCTTGAGCTAATCGTATCACATCCCTTGCAGTTATGAAAAAACACTGTTAATAAGCCACCAACCAGAGCTGGCTGAGGTTGTCTAACTTCTTTTACTTTTCTTTTTTCAATTTCTAGTGCAATTAAAATCACCCTTTGAGTGCAAAGGCCAATAATGACGTTCTTTTCTGCCACACAGAACCTGAAGCGGGTGGCTGAGACTTGGATGGACGAATTTGCAGAGTACATTTACCAGCGGCGCCCCGAGTACAGGCACCTCTCCACGGGGGACATCTCCGCCCAGAAGGAGCTGCGCAAACAGCTCAAGTGCAAGGACTTCAAATGGTTCATGGCCGCCGTGGCCTGGGACGTACCTAAATACTACCCTCCAGTGGAGCCCCCACCTGCTGCCTGGGGGGAGGTGAGGAGACGCTGCGTGAACCTGCTCTTACCTTAGTGCGTCCACTCGCACAGCCTCAGATGGTGGGAGGGGCTGCTAAAACCTTCCACTCCTTTTAGAATGTCATCGCAGATAAATCAATGTCCAACCTCTTTTTAGAAATTGCTTGGGGATGAGCATCCAGCCCTCAGTCTTGAGAGGCCAACTCAGAATTGTTGGCCACTGTTGATTCCCCATATGGATTTTTTAAATACACTTGGAAAATATTTTTATTTGAGATTAGTGAAATTACCATAAGAGCTTGTAGAGAATGAATATATCTGTCATGCTACTGTGTAAATAAGGGCTACCTGATGTCCGCGATAAATTCCCTCACTGTCTGCATGCGTAGGCTTGTTGCTATTGGTATTTGCAAGGAAAAGGGGATGGAGGGGCTTGGCTATTTTTCTAACCAAGTGTGCTATGCAGAATCATGAAGAAACGCATTTCCATAATACCCAGAATTGTGGCACGTGCAGGACCCACATCAGTTCCTTAAATAGGCACTAACCTTTCCACCTCTGAATGCTTCTTTTTGATTTCGTTTCATGATCTACAATGGTAAAAGCTGAATAGCCCCAGTTCCCAAATTTAAAATATCTGTCTTTTGGCATAAAAAAGCCTATTGTGCCAGGTTCAGTTCTATTCAGTCCTGTTACTATAGCCTTTCCCCATAGAAAAGAGTGTGCTAAAGCAAGGACTAAAATTGGATAGGGTGGATTTATCCGAGCAATTTAATCTGCTTTCAGCAGAGACTGTCAGTGGGAAATGCAGGCTGGGCGGGATGCTCGCACCGTCTCGGTTCCTAGGGCTTTCAGAAGCCAGGAGTTGACTGTTGTGCATTGTGGAGGAGCCTTTTCATCATCATCCTTGGTTTTGTGCTTGGGGAGAGAACATGCCTTTGCCTGGTTAGTGTCTGTGGCTTGACAGAGCTCTGCAAACAGGTTGCCCCAGGGCGTAGTAGGAGAAGCCAGGGTACTGAGGCAGCGTTCTTGGGTGAGCTGTCCCAGCTCCTGTAGAAAATGCATTCTCAAGTTACACGTGCACTGCTTGTTTTGCTGAGAAGGTCCAAAAAGATGGCATTCTCTACCTGTGCCTCAGACACCCTAGGCATGAAGGAGTGAGTCAAGGTCATCAGTCTACGCTCTGTCTCCTAAGGTTTTTTGTACGTGCACGTGGTCCTGATACTGGCTGCTTAAGTCAATTAGTAATTTGGGTTTTTTTTGAGGAGAAGGGAGGAAGATTAGCCCTGAGCTAACATCTGATGCCAATCCTCCTCTTTTTGCTGAGGAAGACTGGCCCTGGGCTAACATCTGTGCCCATCTTCCTCTACTTTATATGGGACGCTGCCACAGCATGGCTTGACAAGCAAGGTGTCATCCGCACCCAGGATCCAAACCTGTGAACCCCAGGCTGCTGAAGCAGAGAGCGGCAACTTAACCGCTACGCCACCAGCCTGGCCCCAGTAATTTGGTTTACTCTTTTGCATTTTAAGCATTTCATTAAAGCTTCCCTGGAATATTAGTAATATTAGTCTGCTTGTATTAATTTTAGCTATCTATCCTGGGCTTAATTTACAGCAGTGGAAATTTAAAGTAGACCCGACAGAACTTGCTTAGTTTACACATTGTAGGGCATAGGAATTTGTCATCCAATAAGCAGATGAGTTCCTTCCGAGGGTTTTTTCCGTTGAGGTTATATCTGCCATCTTTCTGTGATAATTTAAGTTATCACAGAACTTAGTTCCTAAGAAACACTCTTGAAGACCTCACAGTATCATTATGTGATTTGAAGCTGGATTAAAATCTCATCAATCTGTTCTCCACCTTATGGGAAACGTAAATTTTTATCCCACCTGGTTACTACTTCAGACTGCAGCTAGTCACGTTTTCCCACATTACCTGACTACACCATAACCTGTATTTATAAAACACCTTGCTTGGAAACAGACTTAAAGCTTCCATTTAGGTTCTAGAAAAGACACAATTTCCCAGGAACAATCAAAATAAGAACCATTTTAGGGCAAGGTAGTCTATGCCAGAGTGTTTTTATCCACTACTCTTGATTGCCTCACACCTTTACATGGCTTGCCTGGTCCCCAGGGACATTTCACATTCATCATTCCAGGTCTAAGCAATCAGACACTGAGAAGATCAGATTTTTTTTTTAACATAGTGGCAAATTTATTTCCCCAAAGCTTCATAACAGCAAACAAAGAAAAGTCATATTTAGGTTTAGGGAAAGAAGAAAATGGAGCTATAGTTCAAGGGTCAGTTACATTCAGTTGCATCTGTTCAATGAAGGTGTGGTACACAGCACGAATGAAGACAGAAAATTGGAGGGAGGCAGAAAGAAAGGAAACCAACAGGAGACAAGGATTTTGACTAGTAAATCATTTTGAAAAATATCTGTTTCCCAAGCAGAGTAGATCCCAGAGAGTAAAAATGATGCGTGTACATTTAATACAGGAGGGAAGTGAAGTGTTTGCAATGCAGCGTAATCTAAATGAAATGATGGAAAAGAGAGACTATTTTCTAACTGTATATTGAGTAATAACAACCTACTTTTTAATAGTAGATAAAAATCACTAAATGTGCAGAATATATCTGTAGACCATTTTATCTCTGAAAAAAATTCTTTTGAAGTTTCACTCTTGTATTTTTCTTTTCCCTTTGAGAGGGCTTTTTTATAAATAAATTTTTTATTTTGGGGTAATTTTAAATTTACAGAAAAGTTGCAAATACAGAAAGTTCACATATACCCTTCACCCCACTACTCCTAATGTTAACATCTCATCTTTGCCACGTTAACCATAGTTTGTTTAACTAAGTAGTTAACATGTGTACAATACTATTAACTAAACCACACACTGTATTCAGATTTCACCAGTTTTTTCACTAATGTGCCTTTTCTGTTCTAGGATCTAATCTAGTATATGAGAAGGCTGTTTAATCTCCTATAAACTTTCAATTAATTGTTAGAATGGGCAGAGCTCCCAAATAAATGTAATAGGTCAGTTGCTATTTTCAGAAGAAAGGGAAAAGGTTAAATGCAGACTGTGTGGCTCTTTTATAGCAGTTGTAGGAAGGAACCACACACCTCCAGCAATGTAAACACAAGAATCCTTTATGGGAGATCGGGGCAATGAAGCAGGGTAACTCGCTGTTTTATGCACTTGTACTTGGAATGGTTTTCCACGTGCTTTTCTGTGCCAGCCTGATTCTGGGTAAACAACGAGGTGCTTAGGCAATTTCTGGCGCTGGTAGTCGGAACCCAGCTTGTAAAGGATCCGTTACAGACCATAAACAGGCTATAAACTGCTATTCAGTTCCCTGACAAATTCAGCTGGATTATTGCGTTTGTCTCCTAACTCATCTCTCTGCTTCTGCCCTTCCCCACTTCAGTTTATTCTCAACACTGTTCACTTAAAACGGGAGATCAGGCCACTCCTCCATTTAAAAACTTTCAATGGCTTCCATCTCTCTCAGGGTAAAAATCAAAGTCCTTACTTATACGCTAAATGATCTGACCCCTGTTGTGTCCCCTCCAACCTCATCTCTTGCTATTCGCCCCTAACTTACTCTTCTCTAGGCACCCTGGCCTCGCCACTGTTCCTCAAACGGGCCAGGCACAATCCCACCTCAGGGCCTTTGCACTTGCTGTTCCTTCTACTTAGAATCCTCCAGCCCCAGAAATCCCATGGCTCCTTCCTTCACTTCCTTCAGGTCCTTACTCAAAAAAATCATCTTTTCTGTAAGGCCTTTCCACATCATCCTGTCTATTGTGTGCAACAATGCACACACACATGCATGCTCATACTTACCCACTCCCAATTCTCCTTCTCTGCTTTATTTCTCTCCTCAGCATCCATCACTATATAACAAGCTATGTGGTGCCTTTATTTATCATGTTTCTCACCTATCTCCCCCACCAGAAAGCAAGCTCTGTGACATAGGGATTTTGTTGATTTGTGGAGTTACTATTGCTCTTCAGCAGCTAAAAAAAAGTGTTTGGCATAGAGTAGGTGCTCAATAAATATTTGTTGAATGACTGAATGGAGGCTCCCTCTTGTTATTCCCCTTACCATTTGCTGCTCTGCCCGCCTGCCTCCACAAAGTACGTTGAGCCCTCGCTTCTCTCCAGTACATGGTCCCTCCTTGGCCACACAAAGTCCACCTCTTTGGAAAGCTTGGGTAGGAAGACAGTTTGAGTAATGAATCTCAGGTGACCGATGTTGATGACTGTCAGGTCTACGGTCCACTTGATAGTCAAACAAGACATGAAATACTCTCTTCTGACATCCTAAGGAGAAGAAGGAGAAACTCCAAGAGTGAGTATCCTTCGTTCCAGCAATTTCTAAACTCTTCCTGCCAGCTTCCTACTTAAAAGGCAAGAAGAGATTAAAGTCACAGCTGATAGAGATGTACTCTCCAGAAGCCATTCCGTCCTCCCACGTGCAAGGGTAGTGGGTAGAGTGGTGAAGCAATGGGGCCCAGAGAATAAATAGGATTTTGAGCTGTGTTATAAGTCAAACTTCCCTTAGTGCTATTCAGATAGAAGCAATGTGCTTTTCCACGATGCTCTGTTGGCTAGAGTAAGAGCAGGTTTAAAGTGGAAAACTATTCTTAAACCATGCACATATGGAGTGTCTCTTTTTGTATCAAGATGCTAAATGAAAGACACAGAATTTCCTATTATTTTTCTCCTTCTTACCCCTTCCCCTCCCTCCTTAGAATTCATGAACTTGCTAAAGTCATTTTATAGTACTCCTTTATAGTCCAAAAAGAAGAGTTCTGCAGAATCCCAAATATCATGTGTAAGAGGGAATAAAAGATGTAAAGTAGACAAACGTGTCTTTTCCGACCATTGGCGTAGATTCTTCTAAGAAGTGTCTGCTTCCCGTCCTCAATATGCCAATCTTGGCGCATCCGTTTGTCATCTTGCGATTGTGCAAAACTTTTTAAAAATCTTCATTTTAAAAA